CAGACGTGTGCTCTTCCGATCTATGAATATCTATGAAAATCTATGAACTGTAACCATAAGAATTTTTGAAAATCACTGAAATACTCTAATAGTCTCTGAAATTTTACTGAAAAATTCTCTGAAAAACTCTGAAACGTGTCCGAAATTCTAGAGTTTTTTAGGAAAATTTTCAGACATTTTCAGGGAAATTTTCAGAGAAATTCAGAAAAATTTTTTTACCAGGGTTACAATTAAATTATAATATTCCCATGTGGGAATTGAATACACGTTCAGCCACTGGTACGTTTACCTTAATTACAGAATAATCCTGCTGTTCCGAATCGAGCACTAGTATTTTCGTTGGTTTTACTCTATAATTACAGTAGTTACATTAAAATTTCATGGAGAAAAAGTTAGGGTTGTCACAATAGAATAATAATGAAATTTTTTGCCTATCCATATAAAGAAGTTATGGAAACCATAGTACTCTGAAAGTGACTTGTATGGTTGCCTTAACCTATTGATTGTATGTTTTACAACCGTATAACAATTATTTCTAAATACGGCTCCTGCAATCATAACTATACGCATACCGCGAATATTTTGCTGACTGGGATATAAACTATAACTTAAAAATGTAATGTTTTGAATATTACACGGAAAGAACGATTTTACTGGAAGATAAAAAAAATCTGAAAATAATTTTTGTTAGAGCACCATCGAAATAATTTTGCTCGAAAGTCAAACTGATTGCTAGAATATCAAAATTTTTTACATCAATGCTTATTATTTTTGAGTTTCCAATAAAATATTTTGATGGTACTCTGACAAAAATTATTTTCAGATTTTTTTTTATCTTCCAGCACAATCGTTCTTTGCGTGTATTTTTGAAAATAAGAATGGAGTTCTTAAATGCTTCGAAGATAAAGCTCACAAGTTTTATTTAATTATCCAGAATTGTGTCCACAGTAATTAATATACATAAGAAGGATAACACACGAAATAGCACAGAGAGAGTTAAAAAAGAATTCATTCGTATAATATTCAGTCATGCACGAAAAAAAATTACTGTTGCCACAACATAATAATTATGATAATTTTTGCCCATCAATTTAAAAGGGTTATAGAAATTAAAATACTTCGGAAGTGACTTATATAGTTAATTGAACTCTCAGCCTCAATGTTGTGATGTGCAACTATATCATATATATATATATATATATATCTCAATTATACTATTTGTTGTGCAGACCACATTAGAGAGATAACAATAATGCTTCAGTTGAAGCAATCACATATATGAAGATATTCCAACCGAATGTTATTTATCCTAAGCACTACGATTGTGATAACCGTACTGATGAGCATACTTTAACAGATGTATGCCATATAACATCAATATAACTTAAATTCACATGCATTTTTTTTCTAAACATAGAGAATATTGTTGTAACATCCACAGCAATTTTTTCCGTGTACGTCATCAATTCTGAGTTTATTTTCAAGTGCAAAGAGAATTCTTTTTCAGAACTTCCAAAAAGAGAATTCTTTTTGCATCTGAAAATTAACTCGGAATTAATGACATACGACCGAATTCTTCTTGAACCTTCTGTGCTATGTGGGAATTTACTGCTGCTGTCTTCTATTGCTGCAATAGAACTGAACTTTCAGTGTTGTACTGTGCAATTATATCTTAATAGACCTCTCAGTCACACCGTTTGTTCTGCAAACAGATAACCATATCAAACAGATAACAATAATCTTTCGATTTAGGTAATCATATACAAGGGTATTCTATAACCGAATTATTTATCCTAAGCACTACAGTTGTGAGAACCGGTACTGATGCACGGAAAGAACGATTTTGTTGAAAGATCTAAAAATTTTGCTAAATATAGATCTGAAAATAATTTTTTGTTGAATCATTAAGGGGATCCTAAACCCGACTCCAAAAATTCGCTGTTTTATCGACGATTTGTGAGTAAGTATGCGTGCGATATTGATGTAGTAATGTGTAGTGATGTGTTCATATTTACTACCATGTCGATATCTTACGCACACATCGTAACAA